CCGGGCAGCAAAAACAACTACAATTGGACGTCCAGTCTTGTCATATCCTTGCATAAACAACTTATCGTGTGCAATATCAGTTTGGATTTCAGATGGAGATATAAAACCAGTCGGAACAAATTCTGTTCTCCATTTCAGATACTTCAGTAACATGGCTGATGCCTTCTCAACATCATGATCACGAGCTCTCAAAAATCTACGGATCATTAGATCATCAAAATCCTGCAAATACCAAAATATGTAATTTCAATTAGATTTCAAATTGTGTCTTATTGGGACCATGTTATTTCTGAAATTTTCAACTCTATTTGTGCACTTACAACCTGTTGCCCCTCTTTAGCTTTTTTTCAAGTTTACAAAAAGCACAATCTTGTTCTTTATAATTTTAAAGAACTAATAAGTACAAACAATGCTGAAATCATTGTTAATAGGCTTCTGAATTGAATATAATCTGTTATTTAACAAAGAAACTTCACCAAATCACTCTACTCAGACAGTTTCTTTTACCCTTGTCATTTTCCTTCCCAAACAGCCGAAATGTACATTGAACTTCTTTAGCCAGTAAGTTCAACGAAGCAAGTCGAATATCAAAACACAAAATCATCAGTAAAAATCCAATCTTTACTAAAACCCCTAGAAAACAAACAGCATTTCCAACCCCTGGATCGTTCTGCGTCTCTATTCAAATTTTCGAACAGATTGATTACATACATGATGGTTATAAGGTCACCCATTTTCAAAGCCACACCAAACCGAAAGCACAAATAACAAAACCATAGTATGATAAGTTAGTCAAATCAACTAATTTCATTTCAAAAAAGCATAATTCATCACGCACAAAACTCTTGTTTAGCTAACTGGCAAATAAGTTGCTGTCAGATTAACTTCACACGAAGCTACATACAGAGATAATAAAGCTCAAGAACTCGATCAATCCATATCAGAAAGAGAAACACACACACACAAACACACACACACACACACACACACACACAAAAGATTGAGTCTTTGATGTTAGACCTTAGCAGAGGGGTTCTGATTCTGGACAAGGGCTCTCACAATTCCGATTTTACTGCGTTCGATCTCGTCCATATTGTTACCTGGGTTGACTTCAGTGTCCCTTACAACATCCTCGGACTCGGAGGACTGTGACGGCGCCGTCGTCAAATACTGGAATTTTTTGCGCAGATATGAAGTCATTTCCCCTTATTATTCTTCTTCTTCTTCTTGTTTCGAGCAATGGCAAAGAGAATAAGGTCTTGCAATGGTGGAAAGAAAATGAGATGGTCGAGTGTAGATGTAATTAATGTTTGTCATAAAAATTGTAGGTCGGAGTTTGGTTTGGTGGTGCCAATTTTCAGTGGTCTCTTTCCGTTTGATTTCTTAAACCCCCATTTTCTTGAAAATCTTGAGCTCCCTATTGACTGGCTAATGTGCACCTTTTATTTATTTATAGTTTTTATTTATGCTCTTTTTTATTATTTTTATATTTAATGAGGAGACAATTAAAAACATGACAATATGAGTGTTCCTTTTCTTTCTTTTTTTTTTTCTTTTTTTTTTTTGATTGGTAAGAGTGTTCCTTTCTTTATATGATTTATAATTAGTGTCGTTAAATTAAGCGAGTATGGTTTGGCTCGCTTGGGGATCGACTTGTTAAGGCTCGGATTCGAATCAGCTCGTTTGATAAATGAGTCGAGTTCGAGATCACTTAAAGCTCGCGTTTGGTTGATGAGTCGAGGTCAGCTCGGCTCGATGATGTTCGTTAAAGTTTGAAAAACGAATATTTATATAATTTACTGTTGTTCGGCTCGTTAAAGTTCAAGATCGACCCAATAAAGCTCAAATTCAGCTCGTTATTAGTGATAAACGAGCCGAGCTCGAGCTGGATTTTAAACTTGTTTATTTAATGAGCCGAGCTCGACTCGACCGACTCGTTAAGACCCAAATTTGATAGTAAATTCATATTTGTGACCTAATAATTATTTTTATTTTAAAAAATAAAGTGTACAATTCATTATATTTTTTCAAAGAGTTGTAAAACATCAGTTTAGTTTTTTCAGATGTAAGGTGTTATTATGTATTTGAAGATAAAATGGTTTTCCTAAAAATATGTAGGGTCAAAAAAGTAACATTTGTGGTAAGATTTTTTATTTTGTTAAGGAAAAAAGGACATTTGCAAGATGCAACAATGTGGGCTGGGGTGTGTGGTCAAGTGGCGATCTCATTGATTGCAAAGTCATGTGTAGAGTGGATTAAACGCCATCGATCCTAATTATCATGGGACTTCGGGAAGAGTGGTCATGTGGAGAGTGGATTAAAAGCGATCGATCCTAATTATCGTGGGGCGTGGGGATGAGACACTCTGTACCTTTTGGGAGGATTAGTCTCACGCCTTGGTTTGTGGATACCATAGGCCGATAGGCCTAAGTTCCCACCTTCCACCGGGCAAGGCTGACAGTGTGTAGTAACGTCGCTGAGTGAATGGAGAGGTACCTAATAGTCGAAAAAAAATACGCAATAATGTCTGGGAAAAAAAATAAAATGTAGTGTACTTTGTTGATAGAATGTGACATTTTTCCTCTCATCTCAAATTATTTCTAATCACAACCACTTCACACTAATCTAATTTTTCCAGCTCTATAATAATAATAATAATAAAAATAATAATAATAATAATAATAATAATAATAATAATAATAATAATAATAATAATATCAGATTACATAATAAAAACTACACATTTATTTGTAAAAAACTTGAAAGAACAATGAACAAATACATTCAGCCACAAAACTTATCTATAAACCAATCCTCATATATAATTTCTACGAGGTTTGGAACACACTTAGTCTATATAATTATAATTATTCTACTCAGAAAATTCGTTCGAATTAGTGCATCCAAGTACATCATAAAATAATTAAAAATATATAATATTATATATTAATACTTTTATTTAGGAGATCTAAAATAAATTTTAGATGCTTAATATTATTAATTTATATATATATATATATATATATATATATATATATATATATTCAACCTCTACCACGATCAACGAGTTTTGCTTCGAGCAACCTTTGATTGTTAACCCTTTCAATAAAAGCTTCAACCCTTTTATTCAAGTCCTCAACATCTCCAATTTTTTTCTCCTTAGTAATAATAATTTCTTCTCTTTGCACAATCTCACTACCATTTTGGCTCCAAACTTCACTTTTGCTTGCCCTCATTCCCTTTTTCCTTTGCTTAGTCATGTGATTCAAACTATTGCACACTCTCATTTCCTTAACACTTCCATATTGCTTTTTTTCTTCGGTTTTCTTCTCCGTTTTCTCATCCGCAACAAAATTCGGACTCGTAATTACCTTAGGAAGACCGCGGAAGCTACTTATTCGGCTTCTTTCGATGTACTCGTCGTATATATCCAAGGATGATGAATACGAAACTGACGATCGTGGGGCCTTCGATTCTTTCACGAGGAGAAAGATAATTATAATGTTTGCGACGATAAATAAGAGTTTCGCGTCGAGAGGAAAGAAGTTATTACAGACGCTAATGTTCGGTAGAGAGAACCAAAGGCTTTTTATGGAGAGGAACAAGAATTGATAGGAAAAGAAGAAGCAAGTGACTAAAGATGTGAGTGAGTATAGAACAAGATTTGAGAGAATGTGAGACTTATTGTGTTTTTTCATAGCTTGGATCACAAATATTGAGTATGGTGGAGGGAAATGAATCTAATTTTATTGGGAATTTATGTAGCTCATAATTGAGCTTATTATTTAGGATATTCCCATGCATTCAATGAAAATGAGAAGAAAAGGGGTGTTTATATATACATTGTTTGAGTAGATATTTTTTTTATTTTTTATTTATTTATTTATTTATTATTTTTTTTTTTGGTGGGATTGTAATATGTGCACATTCTTTACCAATTAATGTGACTTTATAAAATAAAGGCTATACAACTTTTTTGAAAAGCAAAAAATAAGAGGTGTTTATTGGGGGATGTATTGTGCATGTTTTTAGGTGCTTTAGTTTTGCAACTTTGATTTATTTCAGCTACTCAGCATATGGTTTTTTGAAGGTGGTTTCTTTTTTCTTCACATAAGAGGAAGTTTTAGAAAATTATGTATTTGGAAGACCAAATTTGTAAAGAAATTCCTTTGCATGGGGCAATTTATTCTTAATAAAAAATGGAATTGGTTAATTGCCAATTCAATTATTTAGCAATGTGAGTTTTCTATATTAAAAGAAATGTGAATTGACATTTACAGCTGGGAATGAGCTAGTGAAATCAAAGATGAAAAAAGCCAATAAATTGAATATTGATGTATAACTTACTTCTTCTATAAAATATAGTAAAAAAAAATAATAAAATTGACACTAAATTAAATGTCCTCAAATAACAGCAAAATGTGTGCATACAAGTCTAAGAGTAGCCTCAGACATAGAGCGGTAAAACGAGTCAAGCCGAGCTTGAGCTATGAATATTGAATACTCAAGCTTTGATAAGAAACGAATCACAACTTAATTAAACGAGTTGAATTATGTCAAAAATTTTAAAAATTGCATATAAACTCCTATTTCAAGGTCGAACGAGAGTCTTAACCAATCGAGTTCGCACTTATTTCGTCTAACAGCTCTAGTTAGACATATTTCCGGGGTGCCTACCCATTTTTTCTTAAATAAAATTAAACATAATCAATAAACTTATTACTTTATCAAGTCTTAAAATCAAACTTAAATTAAAGAAAAAAAATTAATAATAAACGGTGTTAGGTTAATTTTCTAACTTCTTAGTATATTTATTTAATTTAATTACTCTATTTTTTATTTTGACTTTTGAGTCAACAGATGATGAATTGCATACATTCAAGTGCTTTATGATGTAATGTGAGCATCCATTTCCTCCACATTTAATTAGAGGTACATGTTAATGTATTATTACAATTCTTTTTTTTTTCATTTATTTATTTATTTATTTATTTTGA